TGAAGGTAAGCACTCAAAGAAATGAAGGTAAGCAACCAAAGAGACAAACCGTAGAACAGAATAATGTCACTACTAGTGGGGGGTTTTTGTTGGTTAGGTTAGGTTAGGTTAGGTTAGGTTAGGTTAGGTTAGGTTTGTTTCCAATACCGAAAATTTCTTTTATACACTTTTCCAACACTTTTAATTTCCAGCAGAACTATTGAAATTCCGTGAAAGTGAAAATTGAAAATCACATAAATAATAATTTTTCTATAGAACAGAATAACTAATGATAATTTTACCTGCACTAGACTCGAGAAACCTAAATAAGAATTTTGATTTGGAAACTCATTTGTGCTGAGGATACATTCACTTTCCAGACAAAAACTGTAGCAAAGGTACCTGAGATACAGGCAACCCATTATAACAGTTCAAACATTCACCACATTTTTTTAACAGACCTCGTAGTTGATGACAGCTCGCATGAAAAAATGAACAACTTTTTTTATAAAACAATTTCTTTATTTCAAAAAACATTCATAATACTCATGCTTATTTTCAATAAAATAATAGTCATTTAGCGTTAGAATGTATAAACAAAAATACTGTACAAATAAATAATTCATCTGGATTATAAATAGATTGAACAGCATATTGATTACAAACAATCACCAGCAAGTTTTATGTATCTGTAGACAACATATATAACATTCAATTATATTTGCGTTGAAAAACGGCTTTCCAGTTTGAGCAATTTTTCTTCGGAAAAGTTACATGTGAATCTGTGTATCAAAAATGCCCTCTCATTACGCTGTAGTTTTCTGCATATGCTCCAGTTGCATGTTTCAATAAGGCTGTGTGATACTTGAATAGTTTACTGAATTGAAACACGTGTTTTGTTATATGATAATTTTTTCAGGGTTGACTAATAATGATATAAAAACACTGACCTGTTATGTGATGGAAATTAATAACACAATCCATGAAAACGATTATACAATTTTGAAAAATTTTATTCAAGACACGTTTCACTACACGGTAGCTTCATCAATTACTGGCACATAAAATTATTCTACATTGTCTTTTATATAATTTATATTGGTTTAGTACAACAGGTAGATTTCGAAAAAAATAATTACAATATTACTTCTAGAAATACAAATCAATTTATAAATAGGTTAATTATTGGCATTTTATACCAAGACTCAATCAGTTAATTGAACAATTCGGGTAAAACAGGTAGATTTTGAGAAAACAATTACAATACAATATTACTTCTAGGAAAACAGGTAATTAATGAATAGGTTAGTTTTATTGACCAACAAAAAGTAATATACACACCACTGTTATTGTTGAACTTGTTTTCATAAAATGACAATAATTAACAACATATTCATAAATTACCTGTTTTCCTATAAGTTAATTGTAATTGTTTTTCAAAATCTACTTGTTTTGCCAGAATTAATCATTTATCTAATAGTTTTGGCATAGAATGCCAATAATTGCCTGATTTTTTGAAGTAATATTGTATTGTAATCGTTTTTGAAAATTTACCTGTTTTGCCAGAATTATCCATTTATTCAATTGAGTTTTGGCATAGAATGCTGATAATTAGCATATGCATAAATTATCTATTTTGCCAGAATTAATCATCTAATTAATTTTGCCTGTTTTGCCAGAATTAATCATTTAATCAATTGAGTTTTGGCATAGAATGCTGATAATTAACATATGCATAAATTAACTGTTTTGCCAAAATTAATCATTCATATAATTACGTTTTGGCATAGAATGCCAATAATTAACGTATATATAAATTGCCTGTTTTCTTAAAAGTAATATTGTAGTTTGTTTTTCAAAATCTACCTGTTTTGCCAGAATTAATCATTTATTTAATTGAGATTTGACATAGAATGCTGTATCAAATTGTCTTAAAAACATTTGAATTTAATTTTATTCATAATCAGGGCTCAGTAACAATGAATTTTATAAAACCCACCTGCCACAAACTTTATAACTGTGGTCATTTTTAATGATGCAAAAAGTCATGATGAAATTACTCAGCAAAAAGGATTTTTTCCATGTTAAAACTAACCTTCAAACCCTTCTCTAGACATTTTTCCTTGGTTCAATTGGAGTTTTGCAAAAAACTCTAACAGGTGACACTGTAGGGCAGCTTCAACCAACCCGGATATACCATTCAAAAATTTATTCGACGTATGAAAACTTACAAAAATATTAGGAGTCTTTGTTTTCCTTGTTCTGATTTTTTACTTCTGCTTTGATTGATGCCTCTGAGACTTCTATTTTTTTACTATACAAATGATTCAAGCGAAAACTGATGATTCTGTGTGGTGAATGAACACATTTTGTAAAAAAATTACTCAAAAGTTGGCCTGTTTGTAATTTAAATATCAACATATAGCACACAGAATATGGAGCTGGCAAGGGCAGATCAGAGTGAAAATATATAGTTTTATATGTTTATATAAGTTAGGTATTAAAATAAAAAATTTGATGTGACGAGAGATGCAAGGTACATAGCAGATAAGGTTCTTCTATTATATTCTTTAACATAGATCAGTCACAATGATATATCAGTAATCAAGTAAAGCAATACAACATATACGGTTAATAATTTTATTCTCCCTATCTAAGATAAATTCGTTTTTTTCAATTTGAAATTATTAAAAAGGTTCAATAACTGGACTATATTTACAAATCTTTTGATACTTCTATAATGATCATTTCGTTTGTCAATGTAATAGTTTCTGGCTAATCATTGTACGGCGAGCTCTAGTGTCTGACATTTCAAGAAACACAATCAATATAAGTAGATACTAAGCTTTCAGCACATTTACTTTTCCATGGTTTTTCAAAAAGCTATAATCAGGTGAACATTTTATGTAAGAAGTTTCGATGATTACTCCATCTATGGGATTGACAGAAAACTCAAACCACATTTATCAAACATGAACAAGGGTCTTTAAATATGAATGCACAAAATTAATTTTATAAATGATTTGAGGTGATCTAAACAGTTTTACACATGGTCATTGTGTCTTATATATATATACTTGTCAGTATATATAGGAAAACTACAATTTTCGGCAGTGTCATCTGTCATATGTCAGCAGAAAATTACAGAAAACAATACAGTACAGAACACCTGATGTTTTCAAGTTTTGACGCTTATTTTCTATCTCATTTAACAAAACTTTGAATTGAGGTGTATAATTTCAATTTTTGAATTACAATAAATGAGTATGCGGCGGCAAATAATAATAATTCTTCTTAATTTGAATATGCTCCTTTTGATTTCATGAAAAAACTTCATCTTTCATCTAATATCAAAAAGGCTGAGTTTTGAAGATATGAGGTATGGAATACTTGTTAATATTCAAATGAGGAATCATTTAGAAACTGAAAAATCAACTTTTTTTCAAATAAAGTTTTCTATACTGACTTCTGTACAGAGATTTGTATATTGCGGAACGAACTACTTGTCTTTTCTATATCTGTATAAAGTTCTCCATTGCTATTTTAAATTTTTTTAGACTGTAGAAAACAAAAAGCTCCAAAAGATTTATTCAAAAGTTTCATTAGTAGGTACCTACTGTACATTTGGGGTTTCACACAAGAAGTGTTCAAGAATTGATCCATGTGGAACACCCAACTGTATGAATTGTTAGTTGGACTGCAATCAGAATATTTAAAACAGAAGTTTCATTTCTGAGGGTACATTATTTCAGAAATGAAGCACAAAGCGGATACCTATATTAGATTGTTGCTCTGTATATTGTAATAAAGTCTTGGACCTGATTGTATTTCACCAATAGTTCTGAATTGTTGGTTTGTGTTCGCTAAACCATTACTCATGCTTTTTTAGCCTCACTTGGTTTGGGAGAAGTTCCTCTCTCTTGAAAATATAGTTTCATAACGCCAATTATCGAATCTCGAGATGAAACCATCATGAAAAAACGATCAACAAGCATTTTGAATTCTATTTACAAAGTACTCGAAAATATCTGTGACAATATCGAAACTCCTTTAAATCATGTGATAAAATAGGGTGCCTCAGGGAAGTCACTTAAGGCCATTCCTTTCTAATATATTTATAAACGATGTCAGAGATAAAAATAAACAGTATGAAATTCAGAAGTTCATAGATGACTTGAAATTATATAAGATAATACAATCAAAGACTGTATAGATATCCACCTTGACCCTTGTTACTTATTTTATTTGATTAAGTATTTTACTACCCTATAATGCTCACCAATTGGTGTGCTAAAAATTACTTGGACGTTATTGTTTCTAAATGCAAAAACACTAAATTTGATCAAACTTAATTTGTGTAGAACAGTTATCCGTGATTTGGGAGTAATAATGTATATCAAAATGGACTCTTTCATCTCCAGTCTAAGCGTTTACCTAATTGTTCATTTGAAATGTAGGGTTTTATTCGTAGAATAACAAAAAATATCACAAACATAAATTCAATTGAAACTTTTATGCACTGATATGGTTAGTTGCAGAATATTGTTCTTGTGTTTGATCTCCAACATTTGGAGTTTATATCAATAGCATTGAGAAACTTCTACGAACCTAAACCCGTGTCGAAACTGATTTTCAAATGCTCAGCACTCAAAAATTGAAGAAAGAATATGGTTACCCGATTATAGCTCTTTGACTGGACAGCAATGATATTTTTCCGAAACGTGATCAAAAAATATTTACAACAGTTTCAAATATGTCAGAGTAGAACAACGTAGTTATTTTGATATAGAATTCTCGATTGAAAACTCTTACGAACTACTTCCATTCCGTAAAGGGATCTAGTTTTCCTACTTTTAATTCTCAAGCACCTACGATTTTTTAAAGAAAATATTTCTTTGATTCGACTCACGTTCCCCAGTCCCTCCACCTCAATATCACCTTGTATATCATTATTGGCGATTCGTTATAGCTCTATGATGTTCATCGGAAATCTCTCGCGCGCTATTAGGATACTCTCTGTGTTGTTCTTCTATAATATAATTATGCAAATATGTACAAAGACGGTTCGATACGGATTTTGCAAATCAATGATCAGTCATATGTAAAATAATATAAAAACAGTTGATTCTGCAAAATCCATTCGAAACCCTTGAATCACATACATGTAGGTAACATATTGTAAATAAATAATATACATTTTGGCATCTTTGAAATTCTTACACAAATAGACTTTGGTTTTTTGGTATAAAAAGACTTACTTTGTAAGCTTTTCCCTCTTTAGGTACATCACACTTAGTTAATTGAAATGATTCACTGTTGTGTCAAGTCTTTCCTAATACCGTTCACTAGCATAGCTCCGTGAAAGCGAACCACCAGCGGTCCTGGCAGGATTTCTTGACGTCTCTTTTCCTCCTCCTCTTCTTCGTCGACTCTGCCTGCTTCCGAACGAATTTTATGTTGTAGGGATCCTCCGCTAGCTCAGGATACTGCTGCACATCGTGGATGTACTCTCCATCGTAGTTACTCACGTAACCGACCTTGGAGAGTTCTTCCAATTCGCTGGTGCTCCAATCTACGCTGCCTGCGAAACCATTCTTGTAGCACTCCTTTTCCTTGTGCCAAGCCTTTCGGATAACCGATAGTTTGGCGTGGTGGAGCAGCCTCTGTTTTTCTTTCTCCACAGACGTTCCGTATCGGAGGTTGATGACTACGTTAAGTGCATGGATTTTCACATCGAAGTAGCTGTTGCCACTGCCGTTTTCTCTGGCTATTTCGTGGAAGGTAGTGTTTACTTGGCCTTGGAGACGTTTCAATTGTCCTGCCGGGCAAAAACGTTCATTTTACTACATCAGATATCATCAGCATTAAGAATTATCAAGTAATCTAAACGGGTAATCGGTTTTTGCAGAGAAAAACATAGAGAATGTGGTAATGCGATCTATCGCATAATAAAAATTGCACAAAAGTCAGTGGCGTACATTTTTAGTCAAAAATATTCGTTCAAATCCCGCTCGAGACGCCACTGGACTTAATAAATTGAATCACGTTCGGACTAAATTAGCTCCTTAATGCCATTGCCATTGTCAAATTACAACAAAATTAGGTAAAGAATATTTAAGATATTTACGAATATTTTTTTTTATTTTAACACCCTGTATCTTGAGAACGAAGGATTTGCGGACCCATGTTTAAGATAACCTAAAGAATCGTCTGTTAAATTTATGGTACATACTCAATTAACACCCTGTATAATTGTCAAGGAGGAGACAATAAGCCTTTCTCTGATCCAGAATCTGTCTTTATACTCTTCGATGATGGAAAATTGATCTGCAAATCTCAAAGCCTTCTCAAAGAGTAACCCAATGATAATTATTCATTTGAAATGCATCTCTTACCAGGAAAACTTCATTTCCCAAGCAATTTTGGAAGGTTGTATAAGGGAAACGAATCTACAAAATAAAATCAATAAAATGGATATTATACATTCACAGACACTCTTTAGTTGAGTTTCAACCTGATATTTTCAACATTGGTATTGGGTAACTTATCAACGTTGCTCTGGTTTTTTCTCATCAATTCAAATCTAAGAAAATCTGACAGTAAAATTTGGAGTTTTATACATCAGTAAATGCACACCTACAAGCAACACTTGTTGATTACGAAAGGTCCTGTTGAACTCCGAATAAATAACGTAAAACCCTCACCTTTGTCATCGTTAGCTTTCCAGGTCTCATCTTTAACAAAATGGAAGGCATCCTGTTGAGCCCCATGAACCACAAAAGTGAATGGCAATAAATGCGAGCGGTTGAACACGGAAGTATAAACATCCCTATAGATGGCGTTGGCAGGTGGAACGCTTGAAACGATGGCTTGACCAGATTCTGTCTGCGACACCAGAATCCCCCTTCCAAAAGGAGGATCTGAGGATGATCCGACTTTCTTTGGTGACAGATCGATGACGTTAGTCTTCAAGGCTGACTTTGAGAACACAGACAGCTGTCGGGCGGTTTGTATCTTTCTCGTGTTGAGGTGGGCCAAGAAGCCTGAATGTATTTCAACAGAAGCAGGCTGAACCGTCAGTTGGGTGCTGATGGCGTTCTTGGACGGATTCCAAAACGTGGGCGGTCGGGTGAGGAAGGGAGGCATGTGACCCCCGGGAAGCTGATCGGGGTATAGTTGAGGCGCCAGGCTCTTCAGGTCGAGTCCGATTTTTTCCAACCAATCGAGATGATCTGAAAAGTGATATTTGAACATGAATTTATTCACTATACAAAAGCTTCTTCAGACTTGTATAACACTATACAATAGCTTCTTCAGGCGTGTATATAGTATAGACATATCTGAAGATGTATTGACTTGCGTGTTGTGTTTCTGTAAAACAGCTTTTTCAGGCTTGTATAGCACCATACAATAGCTTCTTCAGGCGTGTCTATATCTCTTCAGGCGTGTCTGAAGAAGCTATTGTATAGCACTATATAATAGCTTCTTCAGGCGTTTCTATAGGTCTTCAGGCGTGTTTTTAGAAGCTATTGCATAGCACTATATAATGGCTTCTTCAGGCGTGTCTATAGGTCTTCAGGCGTGTCTGTAGAAGCTATAGTATACACTATATAATAGCGCGTGTCTGTAGAAGCTATAGTGTACACTATATAATAGCTTCTTCAGGCGTGTATATAGTATAGACATATCTGAAGACGTGTTGACTTGCGTGTTGTGTTTCTGTAAAACAGCTTTTTCAGGCGTGTATAGCACCATACAGTAGCTTCTTCAGGCGTGTCTGTAGAAGCTATTGTATAGCACTATATAATAGCTTCTTCAGGCGTGTCTATAGGTCTTCAGTCGTGTCTATAGAAGCTATAGTATAGCACTA